TTAAGCACAGGTTGCTTTAAAAAAACAATTCATAATATTTATAAAATCTGTAATTTTGGGTAAATGACAACGCAAACAAATCCGTTGTGAAAGGCAAATAGTGTAAAAAATGGAAGGAAGCTTAGAATATTGTTTAAGGTTTTAAATATTCACATAATAAATAAGAAGATAACAAAGTGAATGAATAGTTCCTTCCAGAGGATGAACACAAAATTTCCCAGTTAATCATAGCTTGATATTTTGAGTGTATAATAATTTCAAAATGATTCGAAGGTCACACAAAGAATTATTTTGAAAAATTTCATACTAAGTCTTGAAATGTAAAATTCGTTAAATAAAGAGAAAAAAAAATATTTTCTATTTTCTTCCTTATTTCGGGTACTATGTAGAATACTAAAAGATAGCACAGTTGAGAAATATCAATTTCTTTCTTTTTTATTGGTCCAGAAAATACGGAATTTGGTCTTTATGCTAATTCTACTCTCAGTTGAAGCTTTGTGGACCACACATTACCTGGGTGCTAATTTCAAATTTCTCTCGTCAAGATGCTTCTGAAACATTCGAATATCACTTTGGAATATCAATTTCTTCCAGAGAAACTTTGTCGTTTGAAATTTACACCGTACACTGTAAAAAATTCAGGGTAAATTTAAGGTATAAAGTACCTACACATTGGGTGCATCAACCTTAAAATCCATTTTACTGAAATTTTTCACAGTAATATTTATTTAATTAGAGTGATTCAGTAACTTTTACGGTAATTATTACTGTAAAAATTACAATATATCAGATTTTTGCTCCTTAACATGTTCTGGTAAAAATGGATTTTTTGGTAAAAAAAAAATACCGGCATCCTGAGCTCCGGTACTTTTTACCATAATTTGATCGGAATTTTTTACAGTGTTCTTCACCGAATAATCAATAGGTGTCGTCATAAAGAAAAGCTTCGGCCACTTTTCATCTGGATGATCTTCTTTCCAGGTTTTTTCTATACTTCAGAAATCCAATTTTGGCCCTCTCAAAAATCTGTGAAAGAACTTCTTATGGCCGTAAACGCCTTTCTAGTCATCCTACTTAATTATGTTGACATATGTTGCTTTTGTAATATGAAACTGAATAGTTGTCTTGTTCAGGAGGAGGTGTTTTGATCTCTCATAGCTCTTAAAGCCTTGCCCAGATTTGTTTTTGAATAGCTTAACCTCTCATACTTCTCTTTCACTGAACATTTCTGGCTGCTTTCAACGGCCATTTTTTTTTATCAACAAGAAAAAAGGGGGAAGAATTAATATCTTATTTTTGTAGACTTATGTTACTAGTTCAACACAAAAAATCTACACTATTAGTTTTAAATACAAACCGTAATACTTATGATTATGAGAGCCTCCGTTGGCTTTACATCTATTTGTCTGGCTCACTACTTAGACTCTTGAATTATTGAATATATTCTGCTTTTTGATTTATTTATTCTGCTTTTTGATTTCAATTTTCATCGTATTTTTACAAATAACACAATTGTATTGTTATTATATCATCGTAAATGAAATGTATGAACAAGCTTATTTATAATTATTTTTTAATATATTTTAATTCATTTGAAAGGTAAACACATTTCATAAAATAGTCTAACTTGAAATTAATGCTACCACATTTATATTTAATTCATAAATATAATTAAATTTATAATTATATTCCTTTTCCTTCATTTGATTATTTACATTTGAAGCCCTATCCCTTGTAAAGTTACTAACCATGTTAGAGCTATTTAAAATCACCAATAATGATAAGCTTTTCCTTCTCTAGGAAAAGAAAAGTACAGTGAGCAGACATGACTGTTCAACTTTGGTATGTAATAAGAATAAAGGTTTGTGATATGAATAAAGGTAATGTGAAAAAGAAGGAAAACACGTCTGCCTAGGCAATTTTTCGAACTCATAAAATGTCGCAAGATTTTTTAACCAGTATAATACTCTGTTGGAATGTTAATAACAGACATTTTTCCTCAAGTAACAAAACTATTCAGGAATGCCCTCTCCAAATGTAAAAATAAATAAATAAAAATTTGTAAAAAATAAATTTTTTGCAAATAATTTTCCGCTTCACTTATTAAGGATCAGGGTCAATATCGCGCGTGGCATTGACTGCCTGAATTTCAATTATTTCCGAGTTTGTCCTCGAAATCGGCTTTACAGATTTTGATTAATTAAGTTCTTGGTAAAAACCCCATTCTTAATCATGACTTAAAAATGTGACAACTTAGTGAAGGAAAGAAAATTTATGTACACCACAGTAGAGTATAATGTTTGACATTAGAACTTACAGTATTTCTTACTTCTGCAACGACAAATAAAAACGATACCACATATAATTATAAATTTATAATTTCGTTAAAATATATATATACGGTCAGTGTGCTTAAATGCGACACGATATGTCGTATTTAGGTCCAACTTGACTTTATATTGGATATATTCACCGAAAATGGCTTCATTATTTCGATTTCAGTTCTAAACGAATTTTTCCTTCGGAAATTGAATTATTACCTGTAACTTAAGTAAAGGTACATCACTGTCACTGTTAGAGCATTTTTGATACATTAAAGTTTACTACCTCTTAAATGCGACACTGATTGCGCCATGCATTTTTACAGTGTTTTTATTCACTTGATTTTGTGTCTCTAACAATGAAATCTTGCGATCAAAGATTCGAACTCCTATCAATTAGCTAAAATGCTCCATGCCCGATGACAATATAAGTTTATATCATTTCATGCTGAATGCAAGCAATATTTATCGCCTTTTTATCTCAAAATTCAGCTAATCAACAATCGAAATTCCGATCATTTTAATTCTAGCTAGAATAATTAAAATACAACTAAAGCATAACAAACATAAATTTGTGTACTTACATACACATATTTTTACATAAATTTAAATACATATATTACACTTAAAAAAAACTTTGCTTGTACATACACTGTATGTACATACGCATTTTCTTATGTTGTATGTCCTATCGCATTAGAATTTGTAGTGAAATCGAATATTGTATTATTTATAACAGCTAATAATAATAATATGTTATCGTACATTTTATTAGCTTGAAATCATGATTACATGTAATCATGATAAAATGTAATCACTTATTATTACTTATTACTACATAATTTGATGAATTGTTATCATGATAACAAATAATCTTATATTTTGATCACATGTAACCATAATTACCTCCAATTGTTTCTTGTTCTGACTAAATTTAATCATCACTAGATGTAATCAGAGATCATGGTTACTTGTAATCATAATTAATTGCAATTCCATTTACAAATAGTTTATTACATAGTAGTAATTACAGATGTCATCGATTGCTATAAATTAACAATTAACTCTAGGAAGGCTGCAGAGAGCAACGTGGCATTTCTGGACTTGAAACTGTAGCAATTAGGAGCACTTGAAAAATCAGTTAGCCCGTTGAAAATACTTTTAAATATAGGAAAATGAATCGAGTTATGTTCCAGAGATATGAAAATTTTTTGGTTGAATTAGTTTTTAAAGTAACTGAACAATGTCGCATTTAGGCACACTGACCATTTATTACAAGCTTATTGAAAATTCCGATTTTTGCTTATGTTACCACCATTTTGCAATGTATAAGAAAATAGAAAAATCTCTATTATTTTCTATTAAGCGTGCATTCTTTTTAGGCAATCAGCCCATATTCCTTTAGGCTTTTATAAAATGTACGAAGATTTTCTTAATCAGCCTGGATTTGTTTCTGCGTGATTGCAAAGACACTGCAAATCCGACACTTTAAATAGAGAAATATAATGAATCAGACTAATTGAACAATGATCAGATATTATCGAATTAGTCTAAAAGAATTTTTAGTCTTTGCAAACAGCCTGAAATACATCAGGCAAATGAAACAGTGGATGATGTATTTTCTTATTTGCCCATAAGTATGAGAGAAGAAAATACTGCAGACTTTCCACAATGAAAAATGACGTCTATTATTTGCAAAGAGTTAGATTTTCAAATTAGCCTACACATATACGTGGCCCTTTACTTTATTTTATATTACATTATTTTACAACCGGTGTTGAAGAGCAGACCCGATTCTGAGTTTACGACTATCAATGTTCAACTCCGTAACCTTGTAATTTTGAACCTAACCTAGAAAAAAAAGGAAACTCCTGGATCAAGCATTGGGGCAAACTAGCCTTCGTGGAGATTTTTCATGGGAATTAATACGCATTTGCATTACATGAAGATGAAAACAACGATAACTCACCACGGTTAGCCCGACCACATGAGGACTCGATCCCATGATCCACCAACCACTGAAAATATTTTATGTCAGAACTGTGGTTGGTGCAAGCTGGATGCATAATTCGTATCAACCAACCACCGCTGAGATTCGAACCTGGGGCACCTCATTGGAAGACGAACACTCTATCCCCCGAACTCTCATTTATAAAAAAAAAATTTCATCTGCTATCATTTTATTTTTTGCTATCTAGAAATTTTGACAAATTTCATGATGACAAATGTTTCGGAAAATCTTACGTATTTCATTAATCTACTCTTGATTTCAAAACTTTAATGTCTAACCTCAATTCAGCTATAAAATACAACTCAAAATGATACAAATGAATTTTCTTTACTGCTCCCAAGTTTGTTCGTAAAAATAAAATTGTTATATTTTAAATTTTTCCATCATTTTTTTGCTAAATTGAACGATATTTGGAAAAAAATTATATCAAGTACATCATGCGTTATTAATAGTTTTTAAACATCAATGCATGCGTTTATTTTATAAAGAAAAATTCAAAATAATTATTAATCACCTGGAATATTTAATATTTTTAAAAGAAAATTATTCTCTAACCTTCTATAAGCACCAGAAAATGAATAAAATGATTAAATATTTTAAAAGCGTTTAATTCGATTTTAAATATATAAATATATACAGCAAACAGATTGATGAAATTGACCACATACCTATGACCACTGATGTCCAAAATAGGAAGAGTATTCCACCTGTTATTCTAATCATGATTTCAGTTATATTACCACACAATTAAGAACGAGCGAAAAAATCTTTCCTCATAAAAAGTGAACGGGATCTCGTTGCCGATGGTCAACAACAGAGGGCGCTAGAGGCCGTCACGCTGTCTGATACACTTTCTTCGTTTTAAGGCCACGGTGAGCAGGTTTATTAGGCAAAGAACATAATACACACCAGACAAAACTAGTCTCGAAATGGACAATTGGAAGAATTATTTCGTGGCTATAAAATTTATAAGCTTTTCAAGAAAGAAAAAATCACCTAAATGTTTTTTTTTTCTCAGGGAAAGTGAGACTGGCGTTGAACTCAACTCCACTCAACTGTGCGTGACTGTCAAGTTGATGAAATTATGCTGCTGAGAGGTGAACGATCAACCGAAATGTAACACTTTCGAAAAGAAAACAATGATTTTTATTTTTAACTAGTTTGTTTGCTTTTATTACATTCTCTTTTTCTTTTCTTCCTATCTTAGTGTAGTAGAAGCCGTGATGGTTTATATGATGTCCTAAATAGCATTGTTGAGTTATTCTTCTTCTTTGGTAATAACAATATATAATGTGGAAAAATGACCGAAATAGTTACAGATCTTTCAGTCTTACTAACTGCCAATCGTTAGGCTTAAATTTTCTTATTGAAACTCATCATAACACTCGGTAGCTAGAAAAGTTATTTCTCCGGGAAATTAAAAGTGTGTATAATAATAACTAACGAAAACGTGAAGATTGTCAAATGAAGCTTTGTTCTCCCATTTATGTTCCTTATACGTCACGCATGCAATCATTTTCACCGAGAAAATAAAAAAAGACAAACATAATTGGTAGAATTGCAGAAGATTTCTGTTAAAAATTTTTATTGAAGGCAATGGCAAACGCTTTACTCTAGCAATAATGAATTTATTAGACGTTGGTATAGAATAATTACAAGCGACTAGATAAAATAGTTCGAACTTCAGTTCCAAACTTCCTTCCAATCGTGAATATTTTTTTAATTTTTCCTTCTGATTATTGCTACGACTTTCCCACTAAGATTATGAAAAATATCAGTGTAGGGAATACCGAGCAATGATCTTTAACCTTAAGAAGCAAATTTAAAGATTACTGGGCAATGGCATCTGTGTGTTGAGAAAATCTTTAATATGTTGGGACTACCCTTAACCTTAAACATCTGTGAAGAGAAAACCTGCAGTGACCCCTCACCTCAAAAAAATAAATTAAGAGAATACCTAATAAACGTAAACCTGGCAACGGCCCTCTCATTGCCCTACTTAAATCTAGCTGTAATTAATAATAAACAGAGATTAAATGTTATAAACAAGTATTTTTTTAAATGATATGAAAAGGCAAATTTCTCCAGAAATATTTGTCCGTTGTTCCTACAACTAATGTTTTTTGAAGTTAAAACCCACTGCTCGACATTCTTTACTTAGATATTTTTTTTCTAAGCATAATCCACTTTCATAAGGAGGGAGCTTGGAATTGAAGAGTGTACCACTCGATTTAGTCGTTCGTAAATAATTCATATCTGCGCTGTTTGTACAGTACAGAACCCGTTATTCGGAAATCAGAAAACCGGAAAACAAGAAACCGGAACGAAATTCAATAAATTTTCCCTCCATTTTTTGAAAAAAAAGTTTTTTCCTCATAAGATTTTAGGATTTTTCTTTCTATTTTGAAAGATATTTACCTTACCATCATTTTGGAAATAATCATTAGTGTATTACTTCATCGTTTTTTCTTCTTTTTAAGATTATTTCAGAATTTTTTTTTTTCAGTTGGGTTTAACAATAAAAAAATGGCTTTTTGTAGCGATTCAGAAAACCGGAAAAATCAGTTATCCGAAATAGCGATGGTGCCGATCGTTCCGGATAATCGGTTCCCTACTGTAATTGACTTTTAGTTTTTGAGAATGCAATCATATAGAGCATTCCCAAATGGTGTTCTGCGGAACCCTAGAGTTCCGTGGAAAAGTAAAAGGGGTTCCGGGAATTAGGGCTTTTGTTTACCTCACAAAAATGATATTTGAAACCTTATTTATATTTAGATCGAATTAGTAATTTATTTATTGATTATTTCAGTTGTTTTTGTGAAAATTATTTAAAGTAAAATGCTAATGAAAAATAAATACCAAATTTTTTTGTTTAAAAAATATTATTTTTCTAATACGAATATCTTGATTATATAATGAAAAGAACCTGCAATTGGGTACTTGCACTTCAAGAAGAAGACCATGCATACCCACACGTGAGACCTATAACGTCAACACGGGCTGATCGTTTATAAGCAAAATGGCGTGTTAAAGTCGAGCTAAGTTTCTCAAGATAAATTAGAATGTTAAGTAACGTGAAGTTATTTAAATACAAAGCAGTATCACACATCGAATATATTGGAATATACTTCTTTCTCGTCTACGTCTTTTACTTAGATTTATTATTTGTTTATGTATTTTATTGTAACCGTGATATTTTTTTTTCTTTTTTGTGTACCTGGCGACTTCGATGCATAATTAGTTTGCTTATGTTTTACATGGCTTCATGTCTTTGTGTTAAGTAAGAAATATATAGTAAAAAAAATTGAAATCTTTGTGAAAGAATATAGAATGAGTCACTTAAGAGAATTGATATTTGACGGGATTGGCTTACTCGAAATAGAATGGAAAGAACAGTTGCTAACGTGAACAAATGCCACGTTTCAACAACCGATCTGGGTCGAGATACCCACACTACGTCACTTGCAGGTATACCATTATAAAAAATTGTATTAATATTTCTTATCGAGCTTTTCAGTAAAATAAATAAATTTGTTAATAGGGGAGCATGTTTCCCTGGTAACCATCTTCAGCGCTTATAAATTCTTTTAGCTTTTATTGCAACAAAAATCATAATAAGGCTTGTTTCATTTTCGCTCATGTATGTACCCTACAAACAAATTTAAAACTATATTAGATACTGCTTAAAGTAAATTCAGTTGTCGGATATGAAACTTAATTTAAGATTATTAGTGAGAAAAAAAAATTTAAAAAAAATAAATTCCTCTTTTTAAATATTTTCAAAATAAATTGGTTTTTATTGAATAAATAGTTCCAAGAAACTGAAGCGGTTATTAGATGATGAAGATATTACTTCATTTACTTCAAAAAAATACATCAGCCCATCTTGATGCCCTAGAATCTCATTTTATTCATAGGAATGTTGGTTCTGTTTCGCTCATCTTTACACGTTGGAATCTTATTTTATTTATATGAATTTTGATTCCCTTGTTAACGACATTAATTCTTCCCTACCTCTCCAAAGCTCGCGGAAATACTTTTTACCCTGATTTACCCCACTCGGCCACTGTGATTTTCCTTGTTCTATTTTTCAATTTTTTTCTCTCTTGCCTACTATAATTTTTTTAGTTTTGTTTCTCACCTTTACTTTTCTTAGGCAACTTTACGTTTTAAATTTTAAATCACTTTTGTTTCTCCTCATTCACGTCTAACAAGTCTTGAAAATGTGCGTCTGTTTTTGAGTGCTGGAAACATATCAAATGTTATTTCCGATTTGTTTAGTCTTTCATTATTTAATACGTTCATAATTGTCTCTGCACATTTTATTTGGACTGGGATAGCCTGGTTTGTTGGGCACTGGGCCCATGTCCAAGAATTCGTGGGTTCGATCCCCGCCGGCCGAAGACTCCCTGTGTAGTAAATGGGGACTTATGCACGTTAAATCTGTCGAGTCGCAAAGTCCTCCATGTTCCCATCACAAATCAATACCTCTGGGGGTACTGATCCCGGAGTTTCTATGTCTTCTGGATGGGGTTCAAAATTACAAGGCTACAGAGTTGAACATTAGTCGTCGTAAACCCAAAATTGGGTCAGCTATTTAAAGACGGATATAAAAAATAAGAACACACACTTTTTTTTATATTGCTCTTATATGCCCTATTATTTATAAAGCGGCCGTTAAAAAGGTTTTCATAACTGTCAATCCTTTAGGGTTCCACAGCTGAAAAAAATTGGGAGACGCAGATATAGAGTACCATTTATGGTAATTACATTAAATAGGATAATTAACAGAAAACTTCCTATTTTATTTTATAACTGTCGTTGAACAGACGACCCAATTTTGAGTTAACTGTTACCAATGTTCACCGCCGTAGCCTTGTAATTTTGAACCCCATCCAGAAGACAAGGGAGCTCCAGGATCAAGTATTGGGAGAAAGTTTCCTCCTTGGAGGGCTTTTTTGTTGGAAGTAATCCACATTTGCGTTACATGGATTGGAAAACCACAAAAACCTCCCACGGTTAGTCTGATAGCAAGAGGACTCTAACCCATAATCTGTCTACCATTGAGGATATTTTACGTCAGCACTGTGGTCGGTGTGAGCAGTGTGCGGAATTCGTATCGCCCAGCCATTGATGGATTCGAACACAGAAAACATCTGACATATACAGCAAATGCAACCAACATCTAAACATTAAATAAATTTTGTTGTTGGGAAAAACGTTAATTTAAGCAAAGTGTCTTTTCCTGAGAAAGAATTTAAATTTAATTTATTATGACTTGAAGAAACTAGAAGAGCAGTTTCCAAATAGTACGACGTGAAATCCTAGGATTCTGTGGAACAATTAAAGAGGTTTCGAGAATAAGGGCTTTTTTTAACGAATAATGATTTTTGAAATCTTCAATTATTATTTAGGTCCAATCAATAATCCTTTATTTATTCAATATTTCAATTGCCTTTATGAAATCATTTCAAGTAAAATTCAATAAAAAATTTATATTTTTTTAAGTATGTATTTATAAATTTTAAAAAATATACTTTTAAAAAAATACCTTAGTATTTCTCATCATGGTTTTCAAATCGAAGTAAAATTACTAAATTCGTTAATATAGTTTTCGTTATATGTTTCCCTAACAACCATTTTTAACATATATAGCATTCTTTTCAGTTTTCTTTTCAAAGAAAACCATAATTCGGCTAAAAAACAAGGAAAAAATTCTCCGCATTATTTAAAATAAAAGAAAATAGTAAAGGAATTTAGAACGACATGATTTAGCCGGTTTGCGATCATTCTTGCATATACCCAACTGCATACATACAATTGAAAATATAGTAAAATGTAGTTTTCAATTTAGTTATCATTTGAGAAATAATGTGGAATTTTACCCATGGGAACATTATAGTTTTGAGTAACAATGCACACGAACAATAGTTTAATAAATAAATTATACAGCCCTTTTTTATGGCAAATGAAAGCGGACGATATCGATACTCGTTCCCACGTCTATCTGATAGATATC